TAGACAATTAGTGCAACTTGCCACTAGCCTATCGACTATCCAATCAGATATAATTGCTACTCGTGAGAGAAAGAAACTAGCTGATAAGTTGAGCAATTTTAAGCAAACCCCTCGTTTGATTGACACTAATTCTGAAGCGTCTCATAATAGACAATATCATTGTGGACAAAGTGATCAAAAATATTTTTGACACGATCGTAGGAATAGGGATCAGGTTCGTGAGCGAGAACAAGGCCATCATGATGAGCGTTTCTTTAGAGACATTGACTTAGATACTCCTACTTTCGATGGTTGTTTAGATCATGAAATTTTTACCCAATGGAACACCCTTACACAAGAGAATCGGCTAGTAACTGAATACATTGCTCAATTTAAGAAATTTCGAGTGAAATGTCATGTCGTCGAGGATGAGGCCCTGACTTTAAGTAGGTTTATACAAGGTCTACGAGATGAACTTAGGTGTGAGCTTTTCTTTCGAGGCATCACTACTATTGATCAAGCTTACTCTTCAGCTCGGGAATACGAGTTACTTATTAGTACTGCATATGAAAAGCGTGATCACCAGCGTTCACCCATCTCATTAGCGTCATCTCATCATAAGTCTATCATAGAGCCTTCCCAATCTAGTGTTCCTTCCCTTTGGAAAAATAAGTGTGAAGGTCGTGATAGCTCAAGGTCGTATTCTTCATGTAGAAAGTGTAACGGCAATCATCCTTCGATTTCATTGGCTCCACTTCCTCTTGTTAAGTCCCTTCTAGGACCTCCCTCGTCTAGTGTTCCTCCCATTTGGAAAAATAAGTGTAAAGGTCGTGATAGTCCAAGGCCCCTTCTCCTTATAGAAGGCGTATTGATAACCATTCTTCCGTCTCATTAGCTCCACCTTCACCTGTTAAATCTCTTCTAGGATCTTCCCCGTCTAATGTTCCTCAAATCTTGAAAAATAAGTGTAAAATTTTTGAAACTCCAGGGACTTCTTCTCACCTGCTATGCATCAACTGTAAGGACTTTGGCTACATCTCTTCCAAATGTCCTAATCGAATCTTAGTCATAGAAGAACGAAAGGATTTAATAGAGGAGTCGTTAGAAAATCTAGTCTATGAGTATAAACTTGAAGATTTTGATGACTTGGATGATAGTGAGGACACTTCCTTAAGTGGAATCCCGACCCTTCTCGAGACTTTAGAAACTATACCCTTTGTTTCCGACAACTCTCGATCACATGTTATATGTCATACCATTACCCAACTCAAAGAGTTTGATGATTTCACTAGTCACCCTTGGAGAATCCAGTCGCCTGTTCTTAGCACTAAATCGAAAATTCTCCACTACTGACCAACCTCAAGCTGATGGTCAAAACGAAATTGCTAACTAAAGTCTTGGCAATTTATTACAGTCTCTAGTCCAGAAAAATCTTGAGAATTGGGACTCGATCCCCCCAACTGTTCACATCGCATATAACAATTCTATGAATCGGTCTCTAGGTCTAAATCCATTTGAAGTTGTTCATAGATATAAGTCTAGGCGACCGTTAGATCTTATTCCCATGTCCCCGCACGCTAGTGTGTCGTTGTCAGCTGAAGCATTTGTATATCATCTTCATGACTTGCATATTGAGATCAATAAACAACATGACGCAAGTAATGCATTATATAAATTTCAAGCTGATTCGCATAAACGATATTTTGAATTTAATATTGGGGATTATGTCATATTGCAAGCTTGTAATGCTGGTCCTTTAAAAATTTTAAAGCATGTTGGTTCAAATGCACATGTCATTGCCCTTTCATCACATTTTGGCTACCACTCTGCTTTAAATATTGAGGACTTCATTACTTACAAACACCGTATTACTTCCTTTGATGATCCATTTTTACATAACTTTGTGGACCCCCAATTTGACTATATTGATATTTCTACTTTAATACCATCTATCACAGTACACAAAGATAAAATTGATGTTATTTTAGATGAACGTGTTGTATTGACCAATGATGGCAAAATTCAGTACTTCCTTGTTTGTTGGGTAGATCGACACACTTCTTATGCTTCTCATTATGTACAATCATGTGAAAATTTTGAAGATGAGGTGCATGAGTATTGGTTATTTGAAGTCCAGTATCAGTACTTGGTTAGAAGGAAAGATTGCCCCCCTTGGTCAGATCATATTCTTGGGAATAAGCTACAGTTTTCAGTATTATTAATTATGGAATTTCGTTACTTGGTTCGTCAGAAAGATCGTCTCCCGCGACTTGACTTGAAGCATTCGGAGTATCAGATTGACTGCAGCCTATACTATCTATCACTCGACAGGGTCGAGTTTTTCTCCCACCCCGGGAGAGTTGATAAGGATATCGGACGACGTTTACTTATTTTATTTAAGTTTTATTTATTTTCTTGGACTATTATTTAAATTTGGACTTGTATGGGCTCGGGCCCAAGCTCGTTAGGGTTGCTTTACTATTTAAACATATTTTGCATTGTAATTTTCAGTTGATGATGAATGAATAATTATTTTGGTAGCTTACGGCGCATCCCTCCCCTTATTCTACCCTCTTTTGCTAAATTCTTCTTCTTCCCCCCCTTTAATTCCTCATTCTTCTCTTTAATTCTCTCTCCCTATAGATCTGTTCTATTTCTCAATTAATTGTCCCGTTGGTGCTGCATCACATTGTATAATTGGTTTAATGCTGCAACTTCTAGTCACATAGATGAACTGCCTAATTTCATGACGTTTATTTCTTGTTTAAGTATATTATACACTTCCTATGTATTACCTTTTGATTAATAAAATATTTGATTACTTATAAAAAAAAAAAAAAAAAGTCTTGACGATATTGTAATGATGACTCGTATCGGAATGTTATAAGAAAATTTATTTCAAGAGCTTAAACCCGAGATTGGACTTGAAATATAATAAATGCAAAGTTTAGACACTATATTTTAAATAGTGAGAAATATATAATGGTGAGAAGGATCACTAGATGCTTAAGATTTTGATTTCGGTACCGTTTGATAATCTTAAGATGTTGAGGGATCAAAGTGAAAATAAACTCTAGAGTTGATTATTTAAATATTTAATTGTTGAAGGAGAGAGAATTAGTGTATTTTGGAAGCGTTTGGTAGCTCATATTAAATTACGTATATTGGGCTCTAGGAAAAGAAGTTTTCGGCAAGTCAGGTATAAGTTAAGGTGATTTAAAGTAAAACACGTAAAGTAGTGATTAAGGAAATTAATCACTTGGATAGTGATATAGAATCCGATTGCTATGTGTGGTCATATATGCGCTATTGTTAGTTTAATTTAAATAGGATTTGAGATTGAAATCTATTTTAATTAGGATGGAATTAAATGTAAATCCTATATTATGTAGTTTTGGACTTTAGTAAAGTTTCCAATCACTTTAGAAGTTAAATTAGCGAAGAATTTCTATTTAATTTAAATTAGTTAGGAAATAAGATAAGCTCCAAGTTGCATAATATTACCATATCATGATTTGGACCATATTGCTTAGGAATTGGAATTAAGATTCTTTAATTACAAAAACAAGACATGCATATAATCTCCTGTCAGTAATTTTCAATGAGTTAGGTGGTGTAGTTTTATTAATTACTGAATGCTATACTCCATATACCAACAAAGTTTATGACATATTAAACTCAACTTCAAAAATCCTTTTGCAATTAATATATTGTTGGCTTTTGCATGCATAGATGAGGAAATTTTTCCAGCTAATAATTTGTTGGTTTGTGCATGCATGGATGAGGGACCTTCTCCACTTAGGACTCTTAAAATGTAATCATATTCAAAACCAATTATTCCTCAACTGTGCATAAACACAACAAACATTCCAGCACTAAAAGTTCACTAAAAGAAAAAGAACGAGCCATAAAGTTTTAGAGTAATTTTGGGGCAGAAGCCATTTTCTCTTCCATCTCGGCCTAGTTCAAGATCTCAATATTTGTCCAATGTCATATTGAAAGTTCAAGGTTTCGAGGGCTGCACATTAGAATTTTAAATTATGCCAATTTATTCTCCAAATTCAGAATTCAAGATTTATTATTGTTAAAAGTTTAAGGTGAGGTGTTTCGTGGAATTTTCCATTACATTTGTTTATGATTTTAATTCAAATGCTAATATATTGTAGCATTTATGGATCCAACTAGTAGATTAGACAGGGTAATTATGCTCATATTCAATAGTAGACAAACCTTCAGATTTCTAGGGACAGCCAGTGTTTCTTTCATTGGCTGTGCTGAAATTGTCGATTGCATGGTTTCGACAATTATTAGAAGTAAACATTAAATAAGCAAGTTTATATTCATATATTGTATCATTTTATGTTAATGGCATCTTTCAAGTACATTGTTGAGTATTTTTTTAATTTTTTTTTTTTTTTTTACTGTTGGGATATTTTTCAATATTGAGATGGAATAGATGATTTTAAATAAGTTAGACTCAATTTCGTTATAGCTGTCCAGTTTTTCCAGACTTGCCAAAAATTCTTTGTAAATTGTGTGTTCCTGATTTTGGATTGATTTCAAATGGAGAAGTTAGCCCAAAGGGGTTATTTAACGTCCAATTTTGGAATCAGGAGTTTAAGTATATTTTAAGTTTTGAGTTTTTGTAAACTGCTCTAGTCTGATTTTGGGAAACTGATATGTTTGGAAAATTATTTGGTCTTTCTTATTCATAGAATTTGGACTTGATTTTCGAATATGTCATTACTCTGTTGTCAAATTTCAGAGTCTAAATGTTTCATTTGCTCCATTACTGTACGTTGCTTCCAAAACTGCCCGTTTGATCAAAAAATTTCATCAAAGTTTATAAAGATAAAATATAAAATTTTCGCATCTTTAACCAAAAATTGAGGCAATAGGGAGTGTATTTGGTTATCTTAGGATCGCTAGGATTCAGAGCATTGCAATTTCTCTTGGGGATAAAAAGACACCGCCAATGTAATTAAGAACTATATTACACCAACAATCATTACAAAACATACCTGGCTTGCTTTGCACATGTAACTTGAAAGCACCAGAGCCTCCTCAAAAGCAATGGGCTTATCTATCTTCCCACCAAACATGCCCTCAAATCTCTGCAAAAAGCCCAAAACATTACATTATCAGATTTTACAAGAATCTAAAATCAGAGCATGGACAAAATATAATTCAGTGATTGCCACACCTTGAATTGGATAACAAGCACATTTGGTGCCTGAAGAATTGACATCTGCTTCCTTGCTGCAACCAATTTCTTACAACTAAGCAAGCATAAGTTTTCCATCCACAAACATAAGCAACACTTTCAAATATATAGACGCAAAAAGAACACTATGAGACCATAGGTGTATGTGTGTTGGCGCTTATGTAGGGATGCACTGCATTTGAATCATGTAGCATATACGTGTAAACGAATAGATGCATGCATGTGTGGATAACACAATACAGATGTGAGGATAACAAAATGTGCATGAGTATTCACATGCAGGTGAGTATGTCATCAGCCATTCTCACCAAGTCATACAATTTTCGCAACAGAACGTATTGAAAGATCATTATATTCTTTCGAAAACGGCGTATTATGTTTGTGGATATATGAATCTTTATATATACATATGCATGGTTTGGTTAAGAGAGTTTGAAATGCTCACTTGTCACACTTGTATTTATTGTTTCCATCCAGGACTTCAGGCTGAAAAAACCTTTGTAAAGCATCTTTAAGTGAGCCACTATGCAAAACATCAAGGCTAATGTCCATAATGTCATCCACCTTATTTGACTCTGACCCACACGATAAACATTTCACCTGGCTTTGCAAAGCCCCACCAAATATCTCCTTAACCACTGTATTGCCACTCCCACCACTGTTTCCTCCATTCTCAACCCCACCCTTCCGCCTCTGTAGCTTTAACTTCTTCAACCTCAAACATGTACTGTGACAAGCATCAATTACATAGCGCAAAAATTCATGTGCATCCTCTTGTCTCCCCACCTTAAAATGCTCTGCAAATATCCTCAAACAGCTGTTGATTTTTATAGGCGTATCTAATGCTGCTTCAGTGCTCAATGAACGTACAATCCGTTTTTCTAATATGCAAAACGCGCACTCACTCTTCTTGTCCTTCGATGCCCCAACATCACCTATATAAAGATATTGGCAGTTAATAAACTGTCTGTATAGATGCAGAAATACGTTAACACTCCAACAAGTATAGAGTCATAGGAAACAGAAAATACGCATACTTTTATTCGTTACTAAGTTACCCTTATATCTTAATTCACCTAAAGTTTGTTTAAAGAATAAGAGAATGTTCAGGAGTTTCTCTGAAAATCAAGTATGAGGAGATTTTAAGACAGGGAAAATTGACCCACGTAATACTTCTACGATACTTGGATGCATTATAATATCAAAAAATAGGTGTTTGCTATGCAGTGTTTCTGGTCCATTCTTTTTTCAACATACAAAAATCAACTGTCCAAAAGGATAATTATTCCTCACATTTATTTTCAGATATATATTTAACTAGTTTATTTTTCAACCCAGTAGTTGATAAGGTGCTAATACAATTGTTAGAGTATTTCAAAAGACTTTATTTTTAGAGTGTATATTTAGCAATTTAGGAAACATCTATAAATTTAGAGAGTAAAAATTTTTAAATGCTCCAACATGATCTTTATCTTTAACACTTTAACTGCTCCCAAAAATATTTATTATTTTTTCATATATTTTATTTTCACTAGCTTCCCTCCAAATTATTGTATAATTTTCCTCCATTGAAAATGAAAAACTTAGAATGCACTTAATTATAAAGACCAAGTTTGGCTCTCACTCTCTATTTTAAAATGTTCATTTAAAGAGTCTATTGAAGCATAATTTTAAGAGTTGACTCTTTAAAACATAAAACATCTTATGTTTAAAGAGACGCTCTTACTATTTATACAAAATAAATACACAATTACATTTTTCTTCTAGATTATTCTAACTATGTATAAAGTGAATTGATGGTAAAAGGCACCATTCTGGAGATAATCTAATCCTTATATGTGGTTAATTAAGTTAGAAAACCAATACATTCTGCATGCTCAAGCCACTAGATACACAATTAGAATTTAATTTATTTTGAAATCATTGCCAGAACAGTATTCTAATTATTATAATTGTACTTTGAGTCTTTGTTGGTTAGGAATTAGGATTGCATTTAGCCGGTTAATAGGCATTATATTAGCTTCCCAACTAGAAAAAAGATTACTTCTAGTAACTAAAAATCACCAGGAAAAAGAAATTAAGAGTTGGAGCTCATTGTACTGTTTTATTCAATCCTGTGCTAGGTGGATTAGAAGTTCGATCGGCAAAAAGCATCAATTCTAGTAAAAACAGATTTTGACAAAATCTTTTTAGTGGAGTGTGACACATCTCATATAGGGATAGAAGTTGTCCCAAGCCAAGATGGAAGATCTGTGGCTTTTTAGTTAAAAATTGTTGCCAAGTGTGGCTTTTTTACTGAAAAGTTATAATCAATGCATGATCTGGAATTTAATGCCTTATTTCAAGCTCTTCTCCATCGGTAACACTATCTGTTTCATTGGGGTTTTTGTTTATTCCGACAGTGAGGGGTTTTACCATTTGCATTCACACGCAGTGCAAAGCATGTCAAATGAATTTGTTATCTCCAGTTATTTCATTTCTCATGGAAGCATAAGAGGCAGTGTAACTAACTGATGCATTTAGCAAACATAGTTACTAGCTTCGAAGGACATTACTGTTAAATAGAAGATCTTTATTTTACAATCATAAGTTTCTAGTTTGTTGGGATTTAAGCCCCTGTTTGGTTCCTATTCTTTTCTCATTAAAATGAAAAATATGATTGTTATCCATCACATCAAGTCACCAAATTTGAATTTCTATCTCTTATGTGGGGCCCGTAACGACTATTTTTTTCATTCTCATTATTCCAAAAATGAGAAATAAATGGGGGGCTAACTTGTGAACACTAAAATATATTGTTTACTTCAATTTCCATCTATTTACTCTCTTTCATTACTATGTTAGTTACAACTTGTTTCCTCGTCCTTACTTTCAGAACGTTGTTTATAAAAATATTCTTCATTTCACTGTGCCTAACACTTAAAAATCAAAAAACCAGTGAGCAAGTTTGCATTGGTGACTGCTTTTTTGTGCCTAACAATGAATCTGTTCATAAATAAGATACGATCATATTTACAACAACTCTCATGAGAAGAAAAATAAGATTAATATTATCCTTTCCAATAAAAATTATAAAGCAACTCTTTTGAATTTATCAACTATTTCATATCAGAAACATAAATTCCGGCCCTGAAATGATATCATTTTCAGGAGAATCAACTCTAATATTACAGATTAAATATTATCTAGTCAGAACATCCATTTAAGATAAGCTAAAATCCATAAATAAAATCAATATATAGATACAAGTAAGCATATTTACAAGCGAGAGAGCATAGTTGTTAAGCGGAATAAATATTATACAGATGCGATTGTTGTATGTATAGTGAATTGAGTAATTTATTATGATAAACAAACAAACAAACAAGTAAATAGAAATATAATTGGAAACTTACAGTTGGAGGAATGGAGGAATCTGAGGCAGAAATTAGCGAGGGGAGGGGTATAAGTGAGGCACTGGAGAACTGAATTGAGGTAGCAGCTGTTACCAAGGTTTTTGAGCCCTAACGGCGACTTCCTCTTGAGAAAGCTACGCTGCCACGTCATCTGCACCATTCTCATAGAAGGTGTAATTCCTCCGCCGCACCATTGGCCGGAACACACCAACAAGATCGCATCGAACTCGAATCTTCTCGACGCTACTCCGTTAATTTGGTTCTCTTTTCTTCCTTTTTTTTGTGAAAGGGAAGCATGGGGTGCCCTGTGGGGTGCAGGTTTTGGAGTTTTGTGGGTTTAACTAATTTTCCCGTATTTTAGACTATGGCGTACGATTAAATGAAGAGGAAAGGGGTTCGGCCTATCATACGAACCCACGGGGTGAGCCGTTTTCAAGAATCTGCCACTTGGAGATTGAAATGTTGGCACAAGGTTTTTCTTTGTCTACAATCTTCAATCAAACTTGTGTTCTTTTTCTTTTTTCGTTTTTTTTTTCCTTTTTTGAAAAAAGCTTGAAAATTCATTCATATTTCACGAATCGATGCTTATTTGAATAATGTTGGTTTAACTCTCTTCTTTAGTCTATGTTTTGGGTAAATAAGCTAAATTCTATGTAGAAATTCGAGTGTAATGTTGCTCATTTTACGGGCTAAATTTGTCCCACGAACTTGTTTTGAGGGAATGATCATTTCTCAATTGAAATTTGTATTTTCAATTATGGCTACAAGTCAGATTGCAAGTCAAGTCATGCGAATAGAAAAAAGATTCACACGAGAAGTTCACTGCTCAACTCGAGCCCATGACTAGGCCTGGCGCAATTTGGTTTGGATTGATTTTGACCCCAATCAGAAACCAAAATCAAATTAGTCAGTTTTCACAAATTTCAAACCAAATCAACTCGCTCTAACTCTTAAATCAAACCAAACCATTAATCGATTTGAACTTTTAGTTCAAATTAAATGTTTTTAAAAGAAATTATCCAAATTTTAAGCGCACTTAAATTACAAGAACTAAAATAATCAAATAATTTTATATTTTAATAACTATTGATTAACAAATAAAATCATGTTAATAGAGACGGATTAATAGAAAATTTAGAAGTTTTATGGTTTTTTATGTATTATGTAGTTTTTTACTGCTTGAATATGGGAAAAAAAATGTTAAGTGTAACATAATAAGCTTATGAAAGAAAATTTTCGATGCTATTACTTACCGACAATATCATAGATTTGAAGAAATCGAGATATAGTTATGAAATTAGAGTTTATCTTTTAATTTTAATTTTTCTTAAATTAAAAAAAAAAGAAAAAAGAAAAAAAGAGGTGAACACGTAAGTGGGCTGGGTTGATTCGGTTAATCGACGGTTTGAAACTTCAAATCATGACTGTACCGACCTACCATGATTTTGTTTAAAAAAAAAAAAAAAAAAAACCAAATCAATTATCTGTGTCGAACCAACCTGAATCGATCCAAGTTGGTTCGGTTTGATTAGTTTAGTCAATTTTTCGATTTTTTGGCCTGGACCTACCTATGACACGTCTCGAACTTGTCTCGAGTATAAATTAAACCGAAAAAGAGCTTGTGCCACTTGACACTCGAAAATCCACCGACTACCGTTTCACTTCGTGGTTTCTTTTGGGGTTAACAAAGCTGTTTTATAACGGTGATTTTCATTTCATCGTCCGGCCAAATAAAATTATGTGGACCAGGGAGTATTCATTATTGACTATGTAAATAAACTTGGGTCACTGGGAATAGGCCCTTAGTGTCACCATGAATGGCCCGGTTGACTTGTCTGGCTTTGTTCAAAGCAACCATGCATTTTTTGAGATTATCTAAACGAGAACAATTCAGAATTGCAGTTATTGTTCCAGAAATTAGGATCATTGACATTTGAATCATTAACTTCTTTTTTCTTTTCAAAATGCATAATATTATTTATAGTCGTTCACTACCGCAATCGCCCTACATGGTATACACAGCTAGTAATTTGTTAAATAATGTAATAAAAAACTATCATATTAATGTATCAAATCACTAGCTAACATGTGTATGTCATATAGGACGACTACGATAGTAAGCAACTACAAATAGTATTACTCTTTCAAAATTGAGGATTGCCATGTTTTTAGGTAGGATGTCATTTTATATGAAATCGTCTAGCTTTAAATTAAGAGTAATTACATTTTTCATCACTAGTATTAAGCATCAATCCAAGTGACAATTGTAAGACATGAAATGATAAATTCGTTAAATACAAAGTTATATACTCATTTAATTGAACTTAGAAAATGTAGCCACCTAAATTAGTATTAGATATCATTATTCTTAAATCAAGCTCCTGTTCAATTTAGATAAAAATTAGATTTTTAATAAATTTTGATAAAAATTGACAAGTTGTGTTGCTGATCCAATGAAATGCGTGATCATAATTAATTATTGATTTTAACTTAAATTTTAATTCACTTGTTTAGTAGAACCAAGCAGGGGCTAACTTAAATGAAAATCTAATCGAATCTGCGAACTCTTTCTTTTTCTTTTTCGTTCTTTTCAATTTTATTATTATTATTATTATTATTTTTTGGGTAAAGAAGTCAGTTTAACATAGTTTTATAATTGCTTGACAAACCTAACTAATTTGAATTGTTCTTGCCAATATTCGAGGTTTAAAGAGGAGCATGATTTGAAAACCTTTAATGATAGTTATATTCGCACCATATTTTCTTATTAAGTACACAATATTTTAATTGTATTATTTCTCCCAAAATCTTTATTCGTTGTTACACTTTTTTCATTTCATTCTTATCATTAATCTTTCACCAATTAGCAAATCTTGTCCTTAAAGATGATTTTCATACAAAAATTTTGTTATCATATTTAAAACGATGGAGAAGTATTTATTTTTATTTTTACTTTGTTCCTTATTAAATACACTAGGGGTAAATAAATCTTTTTATTCTCTCTTATTGAAATTTTTGAGAAAAAGCATTGTCAAAAACAAAATGTACTAATTAATGAAAGATTCAAAATAGAATACAATGAAAAAAAAGTTGAGGATATAAGTGCGATATCAATGACTAAAGATTTGAATATTTTATGCAATTAAAATGTGATGAACTTTTGAGAAAATGTTGTGTGGATATATTTAACCAACCTTTAATGACGTGTCATGTGAGGGTTATAATGATTATAAACATTGTATATTAAGAATATTTTTGTATTGACTACGTTAAAACTATTATAAATGATTTTTGTATAAGTTGAGTTACGGATTTCGTATCTTCTAGATTTTAAATATCTAAATCTTTTAAAACATCATTGGACCTTAAATTCGTCACATGTGTTCTCGTAACTTTAATATTCATAATCACCATTTTGAAACATGTTAGCTCTATGATTAATAAATTTCATAACAACTTAGGATATGTTTGATTGACTTCATTTTTCATGAAAAATATCTTCTTCTTCTTCTTCTTCTTCTTCTTTTTCACTGAAGTTTCTACTTTTAGGGTTTTGATTGTCAAATGAAAATTATTTTTAGCAAGTTGGTCACGTGATTATGTTTTTCTAAAAAATAAGGAAAACATTTTCTTTATGGGGCGTAAATTTTTATTCTCTAAGCAATTCAATTTTTATTCTCTAAGCAATTCACATTTCTCAGAAACTCAACTCAATGAAAAAGAACAATATTTTCTAAGTTGAAAATTTAAGTATTCAATTGACAAATTTCATATAAATAAGTGTTCTTTTCAAGAAAGTTTCATACTTGCAATCAAATACATCCTTATATTCTCCAAATAAACATTAACATGCAAAAATAATAACCACCGTTCACTTTTTGGCAAATAATGATCCAAATTAATCTTAATAATAAATCATATCCTCGTGATTTCCACAATGTGCAATTCCTCAAAATTTTCATTTTTTAACAATTAAAAATGGATTTTACACAATATTGTAATGTCCGATAAGGGACAAGATACGACTATATTGCTTCATATAGTGCACTTTGAATCCTCGAGTAAAAATTTTTGGTGATCAAACCCTCAAACTATTAAATTGTGTGCACATATATCCTTTTGTGCATGGTCCAAATTTCTGTTTTCCATCCATAAAAATCATCTCGGTGGTCATTGCATGTTTTTCTGTTTATGATTTGGTTCGTGTAGATATAAGTTCGAAACATTTGTATGTGAGAACAAGACGTTTAAAGGCCCAAGTCCTCCTGTGTTCATCCATGATCTATCGTTGGCTTCGTTAGAAAGATCCATGGAATTAAGAGGCAGAGAGCACTATGTATAAAATTTAAGCCATAGGTGGAGGGCTTTGGGATGACTGTATAAATAGCAAATGTTGCACCAATTGAGGTGATTGAACATATACATCTGTATTTTCAAAACTCAACTAGTTGGTGACATTTTTGATCAATTGTCAAATTTTAAGAAAATAATCCATGTATAATTGTCACTATTTGGGAAAACAATATTTTGAAGAGTAATATTACTCAATCTCACTATAGTTGCAACTCCAGCTTAAAAGGCATGAAATGATAAGTAAAATTAGATGAATCATTTTATTCCACAATTTATTTAGTATATCACCTAATGTCATTTAAATTGGGATTTCAATCCTAATGGAACTACATAGCATTAGTCTATTTTGAATGGTAATTTTTTTTTTTAGAATGTATGGTTCTAGAGTAGGGAAAAGTCTGAGGTTATGTACAGAATATTTAATTATGTGATTGAAAATGAGTATATAGAAAAAAGAATTTTGAAAAGAAGTCCATCAAATATGAGACTAAAAATGTGGAGCAAACAAAGGGGAAGATGTCAAGGTGGTGAGAGGAAAACAACAAAAATGACAATGCCATGACTTAGATGCAGCTAAGGACACAACACTTTATTGTTTACATTATTTTCAACTTATTTTTCATATTTTTCTTTCAATTTCTTATTTACTTGTTTGTTTGTTTTCTTATAAATTTATTCTTATTTTATTTTTGGAATGCCATTTGATTATACCAAGGAAATACAAGCCGCTGAAGAGAACCACATTATGCCATTAGACTATACCAAGGAGGCGTAACTACTAACTAAAACTGTATCAACTATTTATCTGTACAAGCTTTATCTCATCGAAAAATTTTTGATAAAAAAAATTATTGAAAGCTCTTGCACTAAAGCTTGTTGCTTGAGAAATTATATTCAATACTTTAAAATTAAACCCCACCGTTACCTAGAAAACACAACCTCAAACATAACAGGAGAGTGATCATATTGTCTATTGACCCCAAAAAATGTACCTCTAACGTGGCCAAC